AACAACACGAAATTACTGAATGTGTGGCAATACGTGGGTCCTACTGGCAGCGAGCGACATCAAAATAAATCAGCAGTGCGCTCGACTCGCGATTTATAGGTCGGGGTTCGAATCTCCCTCACCAAACATACTCGCTCTTTCAGCCTTGGGGGAGTTATAACGTGACGGTCTATCCCACATTTCGTTGGTAAAAGACTAGCCCAAGAGTTGGCGGAGGGCGGTGTTTAATAGCTGCTTTCCCTCTAGTCTACCATTCCTAAAGTAGGGTTTGTTTGTTTGTTATGGATTTCACGTAAAGCTACACGAGGGCTATCTGCGCTAGCCGTTCCTAATTTATCAGTGTAAGACTAGAGGGAAGTCAGCTAGTCATCACCACCCACCGCCAACTCTTGGGCTACTCTTTTACCAACGAATAGTGGGATAGACCGTCACATTATAACGCCCACACGGCTGAAAGGGGAGCATGTTTGGTGGGACGGGGATTCGAACCCGCAACCTACAGATTACGAGTCGAGCGCCCTAACCACCTGGTTTTGATTAAAGGCTCGTATTGATGATTCAACTGTGTTATGGGCTGAGATGTTAAAGGCTCGTATTGATGATTCAACTGTGTCATGGGCTGAGGTGTTAAAGTCTAGTATTGATGACTCAACCGTGTTATGGGCTGATATGTTAAAGGCTCGTATTGATGATTCAACTGTGTCATGGGCTGAGGTGTTAAAGTCTAGTATTGATGACTCAACCGTGTTATGGGCTGATATGTTAAAGGCTCGTATTGATGATTCAACTGTGTCATGGGCTGAGGTGTTAAAGTCTAGTATTGATGACTCAGCTGTGTTATGGGCTGAGATGTTAAAGGCTAGTATTGATGATTCAACTGTGTTATGGGCTGAGGTATTAAAGGCTCGTATTGATGATTCAACTGTGCTATGGGCTGAGGTGTTAAAGGCTCGTATTGATGACTCAACTGTGCTATGGGCTAAGATGTTAAAGGCTCGTATTAACGATTCAACTGTGTTATGGGCTGAGGTGTTAAAGTGTAGATTAAGCTACAGTTAGAGCGAAGTAAAAACAAACGTTCTAACATAGAGACATTTTATTACTGGTTCGCATAATTCGACGAATAGAAGAAATGAGGAGTTAAACACTTTTTTCTCTACCTTTAGCTATACTCCAATGTTTTAGGCTTACACCTTGTTGTTGTTATGTGCACACCTAAAATCACCTTCTCTTGCTAATGATGAAATATAAGCAGTTACTTTAGTTACGATCTTCAACAAGGCAAACTTTACTTACATCTCAGTATCCATTTAAAGTTCTATAAGTTTCACTTGAATCCATATAACTAACATGTAGTATTCATTAGACCTTAATGTGTACTGAGAACTTCGCCTTTATTTAGTAACTGAAAAATAAACTGCTTTCGATAGCCTAAAAAATCTGCTTCTCGTGAATTAATTTAAAGAACTTAGCCCTCTTGTTCAGAGGAAAACTAACTTAGTGTCTTAGTGCTTAATTTAAAGAACTTAGCCCTCTTGTTTAGAGGAAAACTAACTTAGTGTCTTAGTGCTTAATTTAAAGAACTTAACCCTCTTGTTCAGAGGGAAACTAACTTAGTGTCTTAGTGCTTAATTTAAAGAACTTAGCCCTCTTGTTCAGAGGAAAACTAACTTAGTGTCTTAGTACTTAATTTAAAGAACTTAGCCCTCTTGTTCAGAGAAAAACTAACTTAGTGTCTTAGTGCTTAATTTAAAGAACTTAGCCCTTTTGTTCAGAGGAAAACTAACTTAGTGTCTTAGTGCTCTAATCATGATGAAGGGTACATAAAAAAATGGCGATAAGGTGAACTCGTTTGTTATAGGAAGACATTTCATTTAATCTACGAGTGCTCAATATGGCTTCCTGGCATTCCGAAACACAGTTGTTAGCGATCCAAACATTACCATCAGACAGATAGCGAACTTGCTAGGATATGGCCAAAAGCAACAGTGATGCTGCTGACTTTGGATTTTCATCCCATACACAAAGGATTTGCCATACCCAACCTTCACTTCCAGACATCAAAATGATTTCCACTCCTACTTCTAATGTTGAAGATCAAGTTGAACAATTATTGTATCTGTAACCAAAGAGAAACTAGACGTTGGCGTGACTCAAAATTCGGTTATCACACGTGTACGTTATAATGAAAAGTCTTGAGTTTCAGTTCTGTTGTTTAAAATACATTCGCTATTGAGGAAGTCTATAATAAACTGAAGTTTTATAACTAGGATTAAAATATCTATGTATTATCTTAACAACAAACCTCACTCTGAAACGTTTTATGTCGTGGGTTTTTTCACCTCTCAGATACAGTGTGAGTACATTTCCATACATCATCAAGAGCTTATATGATTTCCTTCTAGGCGGAGATAGCAGATGAAAAAAATCTCTCGCAAACTAAAAATAAACTGTGCGATAAATACGGGTATTTTACAGTTGAAAGTATTTCCGACGATAAAATTTTTACAGTTGAAAGTATTTCCGACGATACAATAATATTTTAAAATAGTCTATTCAAAGTTGCTACGAATAACGATTCCATGCGGCCCCCCAGTGGCACAGTGGTATGTCTGCGTACTTATACTGCTAGAAACCGGGTTTCGATACCCGTGGTGGGCAGAGCACAGATATCCCTTTGTGTAGCTTTGTGCTTAATAACAAACAGATCTCATGCGAAAACAATTCCAAGTTATTTCAAACTAATAAGTACTCACCTCAAGATCTAACAGTGTAGATTTACAACCATCTAGGTTACTTCTAGTTATTAGATTCGGCGTCCAAACAATGTGATGGGAATTATAAATAATATCATTATAGAAGATCCAAGCAAAAACAATAACACTAGCGTTTAAAACTGTGCTGGAGATATACATAGATAAATTTCTGTGCAACCAATACAATTCAACATTAAATTTACCATCAACTATTCAGGCATAGGGTATCCACAAATACAATTGGCATAGGGCATCCACAAATACAATTCTATTACCTTATACAATGCATTCCCGTCACCAAAAGTTCCCAATCAATCAATTTTAATTGAGCTCTGATTGGACAGATCGACATGTGGCAGTTACGGCTAAGTACTCTTCTTCTTTTCATTTTAGTATTCTCTGCGCGTATTTGAATGCTTTATTTGGTAGTAAAAGGTAAAAATGTTTTATGTTTTGTTACTTAGCATGTATCTCACTGTATGAGATCGGTTATAAAATTATATTAGCAGTTGCTGTATCTTCTGTATTACTAGGCCTAACCCTGCAAGCGAATAGTTTACATTTGAGTAATTTTATTCTTACCGCATGTAAGTTTGTTGCAGACAATCAGTAAAAAAAAACAAAAAAAACACAACACTTTTATGGCTTATTTCAAAGTTCAAATAAAATAGAAGACAATGCCACAGCCAGTTATCATTAAATATAGATAATTATCATTGAAAGTTTCTGCCTGTAATAATAATAGTTTTCATTATATTCAGGTAGCATGACGACATGGCGAATTTTGAAAATATAACTTAAATACATAGTTGATATATATTGTGACGACTTGCAACATTATCTTGAGCTAATATAACTGAATAAGCTAAATACATAATTGGTATACATTGTGACGACTTACAACATTATCTTGAGCTAATATAACTGAATAAGCTAAATACATAGTTGATATATATTGTGACGACTTACAACATTATATTGAGCTAATATAACTGAATAA